AAGGGCTCCTGGCTTGCCCAGCCCGCACAGGGCTTCGATGCAGTGAGGTGGGGTTCCTGTGAGAGATGGGGTGAYGGTGAGGTGCCCACCCAAGCAGGGTGCCCTGCAGGCACGGCGGGGCTCAGGCTGRAGGGCTGCAGCTGCAGACCCTCTCRGCAGCCCTCCACACCTCCCTCTGTACCGGCTGCCCTGGAAACACATCCTAAATAAAGCTGGGATCGGATAAATAAATGCGTCCGGAGGCCAGAGGGTCAGCCAGCACCGAGAGGAGGAGGGGAGCAGCCCAGCGCCAGAAGGGATGGGAAGCATGGCCACCTCAAACACCGGCCCCAGGGCTGTGGGGGAAGGAAAGCATTTAATTTTTCTCTTTTTTTTCCCTCCTCGGAGCCCCCCACACCTCCAGCCGCCTGCAGTGGGCACTCACCAAAGGGCGAGGGCAGCTCCCCGCTGCCTGAAAATGGAGCTGGAGACATCCAGCGCTGGCTCCCCGCGGCTGAAGCTGCCTTGGGGAGTAGAACGAGGGTCCCTGGTGCAGAACCAGGCTGCCAGCTGCTGCCTTGGGGAGTAGAACGAGGGTCCCTGGTGCAGAACCAGGCTGCCAGCCCTGCCCGGAGAGTGAAGGCATCGCTCCAGCCGGCCCTGCCCCTCTGCCGCTCAGCCAGATGTTGGCTGGGAAAGGGAAAAACAAATCCCCTGCTGCCACCAGGGCCTGGCTGAGGGATGGGAAATGTGCTGGCCAGATGTGGGGCACGGGGCTGTGCTCAGGGCTCCGGCAAGGGGGACTGCCCGAGCTGCCTGCGGCAGGACTTGGTGGGAATGATCCTCAGGATAACACAGGAAGTTTCAACTAGAGGTTGTGATTTCCTCGTTGGAGGGGGGCAATATAATAAGATTTCAAAAAGCATTGGAAGTTTTCCGCGGCCCTCGCTGTGGACAGGTTTGTCTCGGATATTTTCTCTCCAGTCTCCTGCCCATGGAGGGGACCATGAGCATCCTTGAGGTGGAGGATGTGTGGTCCTGGTGGGCTGGTGGTGGTTCTGGTGGGCTGGAGATAGTCCTGGTAGATGGGAGAGGAGTGGATGTGCTCACYCCACCTGATGCTCGTGACATGATGGGGACAGTAGAGATCAAATCCAGCCTGGAGGCCAAAGCCCTGCACCCCTCCCCTCCCTTGTCAGCCCTAAAAGGAGCAAAGAGAGGGGACTGCTGAAGACAGAGAGAGAAAAGCCTTTCAGGGTCCTCAGTAGACCCTAAGATAAAGAACAGGAAAGGGAATACTTTTCAAAATTGAATCTGTGCAAATCAGCCAGCCTGGCTAATATGTAACCCCCAGACTAAACAGAATTAGCTAATGAACTTACYGAGCCCCTGGCAATTACTCAGAAAAAGCTACTGAAAAAACAGAGCATCCCAGGTTTATTTAATGTCTTTATTAATGATCTGAAAGCAAAAGTAAACAACAAATTAATTATGTTTGCAGATGACTGTACGCTGGAAGTGTCGCAAACGCTGCCAAAGATGGCAAAGTCACACAGAGGGCCTTAGAGGGGTTAGAATGAACACAGCAGGGAGCAAGCCACATGTAATCCATCAGAGAAACATGGCATGGGGGAAAGGGCCTGAAATCCTGTGAGGAAGGAGGGGAGTGCTGGACAAGAGCCAGGGAGGAGGATGGGAACACCTTTGGAGCAGGTTGGAAAGATGGGATTTGAGCAAGGGGCAGGGATGGGATGCTGCATCTCCAAAGGGGTGTGACCTTGACCTTTGCACCAGGAGGAGAAGCTGGAAAGCTTTTTCCCCAGTGTTGTGCTGATTCTGTTGGGCCTGATTCTGTTGAACCCTGAGGGCCAAAGGTCATTCTGACTGCCAGCTGTGAGAGGTGTGAGGATGGCAGAGCCACTTCAGGAGTATGGCCAGGGGTGGGAAATGGCAGCTTTGGGACCGAGTCACTGATCTGGGTCCATGTGGACACCGGGGAACTGGGTTTGCTCCCCCAAAAGCTTCTGGTGCCAAGGGATCTGTGGGGATTCACTCWGCTGGCTGGAGCATGGTGCTAATAACAGCAAGCTTTGATCCCTGCATGGGCYGTTCACTCAACAGTTGCATTCGCTGATCCTCGTGGGTCGCTTCCAAGTCAGAATATTCTGGGATTCTGTGACATCCTGCCTCACCCGGAGCCGCCCCTCGCACCCCACGTCGGGCTCTGTCCCCGCTCCTCCCTCGCCTCGCCCGGCGGGAACAAGGCTGCTTTCAGGAGCGCCYGGGTGGGTGGCGAGGGCCTCTAGCCCTTTAAGAGGGAAAATTGGGTTTGTAATCTGAGCGAATTTCTCCTTTCTGACAGGCGGGAGAAGTTGTAGGTCCCTCCCTCGCTCCTCTTTATTAAATATAGTAGTAGCAGGAGCTCTCGCCTGGAAGCAGGCGCCGGCCGARGTTTCGCCGTCCCGGAGCCCTCGCCGCTGCTCCAGCTCCGGGGGACACGATGGGTGCCCKAGGTGGCATCGCCACGGTGCTGCTGCTGCTGCTGCTGGCCGGCCACCCCCAGCCCCTCAGCGCCGGACCCCCGGCCGGAGGTGAGTCCCGTCCGCCAGCCCACCCCGAGCGGAGCGGTGCCAGATGCCGCGGGACACGGCTCCGGGCTGGGCTGGGGAAGCGGCGGGGAGCGGGGTGCGCACGGTGACCCGTGGGTGCGGGCTGTCCCTCCCGGGGTGCGGGGGACTGTCGCCGAGCTGGCGGGAGCGCGGAGCTGCGMTTTTGGGGAAAGCCGAGGCTGGGAGAGGGGCGGCTCGGCCGGGGGCTCGCAGCGGGGTGGGTCCCTCGCCTTTCCCGCGGGCACACGCGGATGTGCCGCTGCGTGGGACGGGGCTCGGAGCAGCCGCGGCGCTTTGGCCGGCGCCAGGGGCGGCCGGCGGGACGGAGGCACCGGCGCCGCGGGGAGGGAGCTCGCCAGCCCTCCCTGCCCATGTTTGGCCGTGCCACGGGAGCGGGCTGCGAGGGCAGCCCCTCTGCACCCCGGCAGCGGGGGCTCGGGGGAAGGAGGCACCGGAGCGTTTGCGGGGTGTGTGTCACCTCCCGGCGCTGCTCCGTCCCGGGAGCGGGGGCGGTGTGCCGGGCCGAGGGGTGAGGGRTGAGGGGTTCACCCTGCCTGGATGACCACCCCTGAGCTGACAGGACACAGGGGACCAGCTGAGGGTCCCCACCATGGTGGCACAGAGCTGCACGGACTCCGAGCTGGGCACAGCGGTTGCTGCAGGACACAATGGGGGATTTATACCTGATTTTCCCCATGAAGCAGCCGGGTTTGCCCCTCGGCTCTTGGCGTGGACGTGTGCCCAGCCTCAGCATCCTGACAGCCATCCCACAGCCCTGTTCCCACCCTGCTGCCTCCCCTGGCCCGCGATGCTCAGAGCTGCCATGGTCTGAACCTCAGCCAGCTCTGTGGGTCTGGGGTCTCATTCCTCTGGGTCTGGGCTGGGTCTCTTTCCTCTGGGACAGATCTGACCCTCCTGACTGAGCACTGCACTGTGTCAGCAGCATCTGCAGCTTGCAAAGTGGAGGGAATTTAAAAAGCACTTTTATGTCCCTAACTCACCTCAAAAAATAATATATGATTTCACTGAGCAGCTTCTCTTCCCCAAACTTTCCCCCGAGGACCAGGACTCTGACCAGCAGTGAAGCAGGAGCTTGCTCCCAGCAGTTCCCAAAGAAATTACTGAAAAACCTCCAGTCTTTTGCTCCCCAACCACCTTCTGCATCCCAGCCCSTGTCAGTGCAAGGAGGAGGATGATCCCAGAGCCCAGCCTTGCGGCCCTCAGCACCTGCAGGGCTGCTCTTGGTCTCTTGTTGTCCCTGTTCCCTCCCAGAGAGCAGGTGGCCTCTGGGACATGCTCCTTTCCTTACCTCAGGCCTTGTTCTATTTTTTATCATGCACCAAAATAGGAGGGTGCCTGGCAAGCTGAGTGGAAAAAAATCCCTTTTGTTAATGAACAGAGTGGTCTCCTTCCTCCCAGCCCTGACCTTTCYRTCCCRGGATGGGATTTCCCCACATGGGTCYSTTGCTTCTGTGGCRYCCAGGATGGGTCCCAGGCAGCCCCAAACTCTTTCAYGGGGAATGGGATGGAGCAACCCCAAAAAAGAGCCTGTGGCTTTCACTGACACCTCCCAACAMCCCCAGACACCCCAAGGTAACTCCCCACAGGCTGGGACACGGCTCTGGGGATCTTCCTGGCACTAAACACATGGGGCTGGAGAAGAAAAGGGTGTTTACACCCATTTTCCAGTGCTGGGAACGATTTCTGAATGGGGCTGAGCCTGAGTCTGGGTATGGGCAGCAGCTTCTCACAAAACCCCTGCATTTGAGAACATCCCTGCTGAGAGCAGCTGAACTCTGGCCCACCGTGGGACATCCCCGTGTCTCCATCAGGGACAGCCACAAGCTGGGCACAGGGCTGAAGACAGACTGCTTTTTGGGGGTTAAGCTGTGTTTTGTGTTCCCTCCAAGCCCAGATTCAGGGACCTAGACCTTCCTACCCAGCCCAGCATGGAAACAGTCATCATGCACTTCATCAAATCAGGATTGTACCACAAAAGAAAACACTCATAATACTTGTCCTCTTGACATCAGAGTGTGAAGCTTCAGTAAACTGTTTTTCAACAGCCTGGCTCCCCTCTGGCTCCCAGGCAGGGCTCCCCCTTCCCCAAAATCCCGGTTACTGGAGGTTTGGGATAAGGGGAGAAGAGATTGGATGTGTAGGCTCCCTGTGAGCAGCATTGACCCCAAGATTTCAGTGAGTGGGTGCCATAAACTTGCCCAGGGCTCGGGTGGACCCCCAGAAKCTGTGATGGGGGTCATGGGGAGGGGAATGGGGTGCTGGTTTTGTTTGCAGTGTCTGCTCTGGGGTGTCCATCCAGGACCCCTCCTGCCTCCTCCAGGTTTCTCAGCTCCGTGGAGCCACCTCGGCTCTTCCTTCCCTCCACTTTTGGAAATCTGACTGATTTATTCAAACTTTCTCTTTTATGATCGCGCCACATGTTTTAAGGTCATAGCTCAGAGCAGCTGGAAAAGTTTCCAGCTGATGGGAAAGAACAGGAAAAATGCTGCAAAGGGGGGAGAACGCAAACTGGTATCGTGGGAATCGGGGAGGAATATTCTTGTCTCGCTCTTATATTTAGCAACAGCGGGCTGCGAGCAAATATATAAAAAGCGCATTCCTGCAGGATCGCAGGACAGGGTTAAGCTCACCCYGAGGAGCTCACGTCAGGTTGAAGGCTGGACAGGAGCAGGGCCTGGGAGGCGGGAGGATAACGGTCTGCGTGCCTAAATAAAGCTCAAAGCACAGACTGTTCACCAGGGGCGTTGGCCCAGCCCAGCCCYGGCTCCCCGGGGCTGCTCCCAGCCCTTTCCAGGTGCTGGGCTCGGCTTGTCTCCTTTTTGGGAAGCCTTCAGCTGGGRGGCTCCTGGAAATTCCTCACTCATCCCTGTGCACTTCCCAGCTCTMACCTTGGGCATCCCGAGCCTGGTTTGCTCCAAACCTCCTGGAGACACAGAGGAAGGAAGGTGTCCATCAGAGCTCCCTCATTCCCAAACCAGCCCTTCCCTTCTCCATCACACCCAGTGCTTGGTTGGACATTGCCATGCTGCAATGGGATAGCCTTCAGAGTTTTTCTGGGATACACAGAACAGAAAAAGGGAAATCGAGTTTTTGTTATATTGACCGATATAGCAGAATATTGTTAAATATTGTTCTATGAGGATAATTTTTATTCTGTTGTATTGATAGAATATTGATGTACTCTCTAAGGTATGTTCTAAATACATTCTGTAAAGTCAGAGAGCCTTTCACAAAGCCTTTSCCCGCAGTCAGGGCAGCTTTGGACTTTGCAAAGCCAGGCTAAAATGCAGAGGAGCAGGACTGCTGTGGCTCTTCCCAGCAGCAGGATGGGGAGGATGCAGGTTTGCTGCCTGCTTTGTCACCCGTTAGCAGCCGTTTATCCTCAGGGCAGACCAAACGGGGTTTCTGAGCTGGCATCAGGGTGGGGTGGGAGATGTTTGTGCCCTGAGCTGTGCACCCACGAGGGTGATGAATTCCCATTTTCCGTCCTTCCTCCCCGGGGTGTGTCGCCCGGAGCCATGCGCATCCCTCTGGGAACCGCTCCGTGCCCGAGGGCCGCGCTTGGCTGCCTGACAGCCCGACAGAAGGCAGACGGAAAGCATCCCGGAGAAAGGAGGGTGCCGCCAAAAATTGCTGGGAGTGGAGAAAGTCACGGGGCAAGCGGCGCGGTTTTGGGGTGGCCGGGTCCCTCACGTGCCGCCCAGACACGGAGACAGAGCAGCGACATCCATCCGTCACCGTGACTCACTGGCTGGCCAAGGAGCCGCTGCGAGCGGTGACTCAGCTCGGGACGGCCCTGTGAATCCCCGCTGCTGCTTTTTTTSCCCAAATCGTGGCTTTCTGGAAGTTGTTTTTCCACTTTGCTGCAGGCAGCCGAGGGAGGGAGGGTTTGGAGTCGCCGAGCGCTTGCGGTGCCATCCCCAGGCGCGTCAATGGGTGCTCCCCATCCTCTGTGTCCCACAACCCTCGCGTGGTGGGGCGGGCAGCAGCAGCTTCCCATCCCCATTCCCAGCCTCCGGCAGGGCTTCAAGCTTTTCAGCATCCCATCCCACAGAAATTTCTGAGCCCACCAGGGTCATTTCCTCTGGGAGCTGGGGAGAAGAGGGGGAAGGCTTGGCCCGAGGAAGATGAGGCTGAGAAAGCCGTGCAGCCCTGRGAGGGGATGTGAGCGCCCGCTTCCACACCCCCACAGCCCCCCCGGCAGCCGCGCTCCCCTCCGCGCTGGAAATAGAGCAGGCATTTATTTTCTCTGTAAACATCACCCCGGCGCGTGTTTCTCATGCATGGAAAAGTCCGGGAGTGGGGAGGGGGAGGCAGGGCAGGGGACGGGACCTCCGGAAGGATGGGGGAAGAGGAGACGAGAGGGCAGAGATTTCAGCTCTAGAAAGAGGGGGAAAACCCCAAAATACTCATTTTCTTTGCAGGCAGTTTAACATGCCAACCCCAAAGGTGTAAAAAATCTCTTTCCCTCTTCCACATTGCAAAATTCCATCTCTGTCTGTGAGGACACTTTTCTCTGTCCCTCACAGCACTCAGCATCACCAAAAGCCCGTCCTGGCCACGGTCCTCGCTGCCCTGTGGGGTGCAGGGTGCTGTGGGTGCCGCGACTAAAGCTGAATCACCCCAATTTACACCTCAGCTGCACTTTTTTAACATCTCCTCCCAATCCCTGAGCGCCGGATGCCGCAATCGAGGCAAGCAGGTAGCTTGTGGCAAGGTTTCAACACACCCGCTCGTGCCCATTCTTTCCCCACAATTTTGGCCGATAACTCCCCCAATCCTGGCACGTCGGGAGCCACTTGACACCAGCGGGGCTGGGAAACATCAGAGCCCGGCGGCTGGAGACGGGCCCCCCTCCAGCGGCGGCTGCCGGGCTGTTTGTTGACAGCAGGCGAGGATCTCTCCGGTAACGTGCAGCCATTCCATGYCTGTGAGCATCCCCTGGCCCGGCTCCTCCATCC